CATGAAAAAGGCAGACTCATTGCCGTGGGGGGTGGACTACCAGTCCCCCACCAGTGACACGACGGGTAGGAAAGAGATGATCCTTTCCTCCTCTTCTAACCGTCCTTCTTCGGCGTTATCCACGCCCACAAACCAACCCATCATGGGGGTAATAATACGCCTTACACTGCTGGGCGTTCACTACGCCCTACTATCCGATGAAACTCTGCCCATACAAGTGGGCTTTATCACATTCTGGGCGTGTTCAGTCACCAAATAAATACGCTCGGAATAAACCGTTGGCCAGCGGCCTGTCATGAGATAAAATCATTGGGTGGGGATGTCCCACCCGTCCATCATTAAAATTATTATCGTACAGGTCGTCAAAACAATAAAACTTTTAAAAAGAGAAATCAATAAATAAATAAATAAAACGGCACAGTAAAAAATAAAATACATCAGTCAATAAATGAAGGACAAAAACAACACTCAGCTGGTGTGTAAATGGCACCTAGCTTACACATACCACGATCGGCTATAAAAAGGCTATATTCATATGTTAATGGAGCTTCTTCCTCCCTCTCTCGCTTCTCTCTCCTCTCTTTCCAGGGTCCTCTCGTGTGCGTCCTTCTCCTTCATTGCATTAACCACAAATTCAATCACTCGATCTCTCCTTGTATTATTCCTCAACAGGTCAATGAAGTTGTCCGCTTTTAGCAACACGCCCAGTTCTGTATGAAGGGATGTTCTCTCCGCCCCCCACCTCTTACAGTGGAAGAGAAAGTGCTCTGGACTATCGCTCATGCCCGGGCAGAACCAGCACTCCGAGTGATTTTGTCTTCCTATTTTTTGCAAATAGGTGCCGAAACATCCATGGCCCGTCATCACTTGCGTTATATGGAAATTCAGGTGCCTCGGCCCCCACCCTATCCAGTCTGCTATGCGGGGGATAAGCGCAAAAGTCCACCTTCCCTTGTTTGAAGCCGCCCATCTGCTTTGCCACGCCTCCAATGTGGCAACCTAACCTAACCTAACCTAAGCTAACCTAACCTAACCCTAACCTAACTCTAACCTAACCTTTTTTTTTTTGGGTTGATAGAAGAGAAAAATGCATTTACGCACGCGCAGGTTATCCCCTGTTCGTCTATTCGGCTAGAGGGGCCCGGGCAGTGTGTGACTCATATCCCCTGAAGGGGGGCCTGGCGCCCATTTGGTGGGGGCAAACCCAAAGAGGCAACCCAGAAAGGGCAACCTGACAGCCCAACCCTGAAGGGCGAGCACAAAGGAAAAGGGTCACAGCCCAGAAGGGGCGACCCAGCGGCGCCCAGAAGAGGCATCCGCGGCCTGATATACTACCCACTAAAAACCTCTTCCCTAACGTAGGCCGTCGGTACCCTTTCATCCTTTGGGGATATCCCAGATGTACCGACGATAGCCGCAACGGCGCTTCTGCTCCCTAGCTTACATTTGCGCTTTCGTCTCACCTCAATCCGCCATGCGCTAGGCAACCACAGGGGATTGAGGATCCACGCCGTCACACCTCCGATCTAGCGGTAGGATGTTTCAACCTGTACAAGAAAGCACAGGATTTTTCTTCGGCCACGATCAGGAACCGGAAGATTCCCACTCAACGGGTGATCGCGCCCCTACTTCACCTGCCTGCTATTAGCGAGGCCAGGAAACTTTCTCTTCGGTCACGATAAGGACCCGGGACTTCGTATCTCCCGGTTGATCGCCCCAATCTTCGTCCACCATGGTAGGTTGATAATGATGATGTGGCTTATCCTTGCAGTCATCACGCCCACCTGTCCTTCCCCGAGGACAGGCCATTTTTCTTCAACCACGATCGGCACCGGAGGACTTTCCCACTCATCGGGTGATTGGACCGTGTGTTCAGCCTGCCTGGCACTTGCCAGGACAGGACTTTTTCTTCGGTCACGATCAGGACCCGGGACTTCGCATCTCCCGGTTGATCGCCCCAATCTTCGTCCACCATGGTAGGTTGATAATGATGATGTGGCTTATCCTTGAAGTCATCACGCCCACCTGTCCTTCCACGAGGACAGGCCATTTTTCTTCAACCACGATCGGCACCGGAGCTCCTGCTCAACGGGTGATCGGGCCGTGTCTTCACCAGCCTGCCATAAGCGAGGTCAGGAAGCTTTCTCTTCGGCCACGATCAGGAACCGGGAAATCCTTTTCCCCGGCTGACCGCGCCATGTCTTGGTACGCTGCAACCTTCGATGACTTGTCCCATACATACTCCAGACACACACACACCACTCCCAAAAAGCATAGCATCGAATATCCAAACAACCCAAGCAAGTAAAAGGAGGCATGCAGAATGCCCATGAAGAAAGTAGGCACATAGAGTAGCCACTCCCTAGCCAGGTGAAGAATGAAAGTGTAAGAAACAAGCTCAGACTCCAATCCTATCGCATGAGTAAGATAATGTAGAAGTAAAATTGCCATTGGCAAGAGAGCGGTAAAACAAGCAGCTGTAGCAGAGAGAATAGAAAAGAGTAGAAAAGAAAGTTAGTTAGGGAAGTATAATAGTAAATATTAGCATATAATCAACACCCAAACTAAATTAACCACCCAACACTGCGTTGAGCTCTGCTGCATTGAGTAACAACTAAATAAGTAAGCAATGAAGTAAACCGGTAATCAATTAAAAGGAAGGAAAACAAAGTATTCCATTAGGGCGCCTTGAGGAACAACAATTCCTGTCAAAGTATAAAGAAAACTGCTGCGCTCACTTACTTATTGACAACTGAACCATATCAAAATGGGTAGGAAAGTGCAATATTGTCAAAGTCGGACTAAGTAAATGTAAATTTATAATGTATAATTGTATATGGATTAATATATATTAATATAACCAAGACACAGCATAGTAGTGACACCTAAGTCATCTCATAACACAATGCAACAGAAAACGCAGGATCAAACTACAGTAAAACCTGGATAAATTCAACCAAGATTGGGACCCAGTGGTTGCGTTTACCTAAGCACGGTATCGAAGCTCGGATGACACGCGACGACCAGCTAAGCGTGAACGTAGAAAGGGACAGACAGTGGTGGAAAGAGAGAGGTCCGAAATCAAAGGAAAGAGCCGAAACGTATCGGTGTGACTAATACTAATTGAATCAAAAAACTTTTTTATTTTTGACTTTTTTTGAGTGAAACTTTTACTAGCGCATTGGTGAGATTTTTGTGAGTAAAGTGGTACCAAACACGATATAGTTTCAATTATAATTACTTGCTAAAATTGATGTTATAAGTTGGTGAAAAGCAAGAGAGATCGAAATCCAAACCAGTCGCGGTGTCGGCTTTGGTTTCAAAGGTTTCATTTATCCTAGCGAGGAGTCGATTCTGGGCATTTAATGTTTCATTTATTCAAGCAAGGAGTCGATTCCGGGCATTTAATGTTTCATTTATTCAAGCAAGGAGTCGATTCTGGGCATTTAATGTTTCATTTATCCAAGCGAGGTGTCGATTCTGAATCCGTACACATGTTTTCTTTGTAGCCAACATGCCGATTCTGTGTCCGTACACATCTTTTGTATTCAGCCGACATCATTTATATTCAGTCGTGGTCTCAATTCTATGTTGCTTATTCTATTACTATTGTTTATAAATATAATTCAACCTATATCGAGTTTGGTATCATTTTAATCAGAAAAATCTCACAAATGCATTAGTAACAGTTTCATTGAGAAAAAGTTAAAAATAAAAAAATTTATCGTTGAATTAGTATTAGTCACACGGATATTACGGTCGGATCATATTACACGGTTTCCTCGTCGAGCGGCTCGGTTCGCCTAGGGGGATCCCCCCAAGTGGAGGGGATAGCGATGTTTCATTTATCCAAGCATTCTTTCGTTGAATTCATCCAGGTTTTACTGTATCCTTAAAATATATATATGAAGGTAACGCAACACAATAAACGCACATAGTATACGCGTTCAAACAACCAATCCATATAAACCAAACTGTACCAGATTCTAATAGATTCTAATGAATTCCATTGAATCCATTATGTTGAGCATGCAATAAGGCCAATAAGACTACACTAAGGCATATAGACACATGTCATGACATAATAATGGAAATATGTAAATACGGCAAGTAGGGTGAAATAAAATAAAACAAGCACTTATAAAGTCATTTAATTAATTTAACCTAATTTATTCAATATACCATATGTCACCGCTAATCACCCCATTTGTTTATTCACTCAATTATAGTAATATAAAGAATAGGAGATAGGGAGTTATATAATACAATACAGTACAGTTTACAGTGTAGCGCAAAATACTGCCTAAGTATAACCTAATGTAACTGAAATACCCTAACCCTAACCTAACCTAACCCTAACCCTAACCTAACCCTAACCCTAACCTAACCTAACCTAACCTAACCCTAACCCTTTTTTTTTTTATATTAACGAGGTGGGAAAAACGCATTTATGCAGACCGGGCTACGATGTTAGATGCCCGGTACTGTGGGACTCCCAGTCACTGGTATACCCACTAAAAAACCCACCTCGGTTTCTCGTTCATGTTTCCGGCCTCCTCCCTGCCAACCCCCGGAAAAGCCTCGATCTAATGATCTATAGCATTACTTCGAGGGGGGGGGGGGGGGGGGGGGGGGCAAATGGTGCCCTAAACCTTTGGAGCAGCTTATACTTTTCTCGGCACTTCTTCTGTATCTCTTACTCTTGTTTCTTATACGTAACCAGTGGTAACTCCGCCCATAGGCGTGATAATAATACTAAGCCAAAGACCTCCCATTCCTGGTACGTTGGACCCCGCCAAGTTAAGTCGAAGTATTACTCTACAGCTTACGTACTAGTTCATAGCTTACACCGACTCATATGATATGACACTCCTTATGTCAAACTCTTACTTTGGCGTGGTCAATTTCACAAGCCACGCCCATCCATCCGATGGGCCACGCCCTATTTCATCAGGACACGCCCAGTGGGCGTCAACAAATGCTGGAGGCGATGAAAACGCCTATTTAATTTTCGTCAGCTTATAAAGGTGTACATGACCATGCTCCAGGGGTAAAACTATAGTCGAACTAAAGTGCCCTTTGTCAGATTTGAACTAAAATAAAATTACTACACATAGTTGCGTCTGTCCAATAAAAATCTCATAAAAACGGATTGCATAGCAATAATTACTATTAAATAAATAAGTAAAATACGTAAATACTTATGAACAAGCACTCAGTAACATAAAATAGGCGTGTATAGGGCGCTCTGACTAGAATCTCCTCGTTTATGTAATATCTATTACTTGGATGGGCATATCATTGGGATTGCCTTGCGTTCTCCTCTCTTTTTCTCTATCCCTCTCATATTTCTCTTTCTCTCTCATACAGCTGGTTACAAACATGATTATCTGTTCTCTACTTCTGCTGTCACCAAATAGCCTGATGAAGTTTCCAACACCTAGATTTTCACCTATGGTAGCATTCAGTGTTGCTCTTTTTTCCCGCCAGCGACTACAATGAAGTAAAAAATGTTCTGGATTATCTTCGTGTCCCTCGCAGAACCAACAAAATGCGTTTTCCTGTTTGCCAATCCTCAATAAATACGACCCAAAACACCCATGACCCGTTAAAACTTGGGTCACATGGTAGCTCAGAAACTTTGGTCCCCATGTAACCCACTCCCTTATGTTGGGAATCAGTTGGAAGGTCCACCTACCCTTCGTCGACGCTGTCCATCTCCTCTCCCAGGTATCCATTGTCACCTCCCTCTCTTCTTTCTTGATCCTGGCGATCTCCTCATTACTGAGTTCCCTATTTTCCTTCCTTTTCGCGTAAATGCGTGCTCTTTCCTTCAACAGCAAGTCGATGGGTATCTGTCCTGTTATTACACAGAGTGCATCCCATGATGTTGTTCTATAGGCTTGCGCTACCCTTAGCAGCGCGGTACGCTGTGTGCTAGACAACAGGTTGCAATTTGTTCTAAGCTCCAGACCACCAACCCATAGCGGGGCCGCATAGAGTATCACCGACTCTACTACTCTATAAAACAACCTCCAGGCCAGATTTCCTGCACCACCAAGGTTGGGCATCAGATGAGCCAACACACCTGCATATTTAAGAGCCCTGCTACAGGCGGTTTCAATATGACTCTTAAAACCATGGTTCATGCCCAATATAAGGCCCAGATACCGTGCCGTACGTGCAGTTCTGATCTCCGCATCCCCACATATCACGCTAAGGCCACCCGCTACCTTCCTTCCCGTCAACAAGATGGCTTCCGTCTTATGGTGCGCCAGACTCAGCCCCTCACTCTTGTACCATATCCCCAGGTCTTTGATGGTCTCCTGTGCTACATACACCAGTCTAGCCAAATCGACATCAACGATGACAATACCAATGTCATCCGCATACGCTACCTGGTGCACATCTCTGCGCAGTCTCACCCTCAGTAAGCCGTCGTATACCAAGTTCCACAGAATTGGGCCGATGACGGAGCCCTGTGGAACCCCCCCAAACACCTGGAAATTGAGTTCCCCCTCCGCCGCATTATAGACTATCCACCTTTCATCCAGGTAGCTTCGTATCAGGTTAACAAGCTCTGGTGCAAATCCTCTTTCCTCTAAGCACCTAATGATACTGCCCCACCTGATCGTGTTAAATGCATTTTTTACATCCAACAGGACCAGGAGGCAGTGCCTTCTATCTTTGCGGGCTTTTTGCCAGATGCCATCCACTTTGTCCATTGCGTCGAGCGTTGAGCGACCTTTCCTAAAGCCATATTGATTATCGGCCAGGTCATTATTTTCTAATTCTCTTAAAATACGCGTCTTAACAAGTTTTTCCGGTATTTTCGCCAGGCAGGAGATTACCGACAGGGGCCTATATGCCCTCTCATCTGCTCTTGTCGCCTTCCCTTTAGGTAGTAGGACCAAACGTCCGGTCTTCCACGACCTTGGCCAATATCCTCTAGCATAACAGATGTTATAAATATACGCTAGCCACCTAGCCGCTCTCAGGCTGAATTTTTTTGCAACTGACGTAGGCATCCTATCAGGCCCAGGCGCTTTATTAACTGGTAGGCATCTCACCACTAAGGTAATCTCTTCGGGGGTAATCCCTCCCACTCTTCGGTGCTCAAGCGTGACAGGTACAGGAACAGGTACATCTGGCAGTTCTTCTTCCACATTAATTTCTCTCTCTCTAATTTCTGTTTCTCTTTCAGGTATCTCTCTCGGTCCCCCAGGTAAGTATCCCGTACCTCTTCTCTCTCCATTCCAATCATTGTTATTTTCTTTTTCAGGTGCTCCAGTACATCCGGGTTCATCAGGTAAGTATATAACTTCATCTTCATTTTCAACAGTTCTAACCACTATTTCAGCGTTTTTTTCAGGTGTATCCAGCCTCGGAGGGGACAGGATAAATAATTTCTTTACCACTGACTCTACTTCTTCGGCACTCAGTATATCTGGCTTACTACCCTTTCCCTTCAGTTTCCATGTGACCACCTTGTACGGTCTCCCCCATATATCCTTGTCAATATCCGTTAGCATATTTTTCCAACTAGTTTTTTTGGCTTTTTCCACCGCACGCTTCATTGTTTTCTGTGCCGTCTTATATACCTTATACGCCTCCTCTATATCTCTCTCATTACCCTTAGCCCTTAACCTAGTGTATCTCCTCCTCGCCTTGTTTACCTCTTTTTTGCATCTAGCCGTATCCTCATTCCACCAGTATACAGGTGTTTTGTTACCCTTGTATGGGCCTCTATAAGAAGTATACTTGTTAACCAGTCTATCCACGTCCTCAATAAACTTGTCTACCTCCAACGTAGTGCCCGTTTTAACTCTCTTGTCGTAGGCCTCGTCCCTGTATTTCCGGATAAGTTCCTCCAGGAGTCCAGCTTCATCAATTTTTGGTTTTCCTAGGTCAAACGGGTCCTTCTCCCTCATGGAATCCGTCTTAGCCCTGCCAAACTTTCGCACAATATACCTGTGGTCCGATGCCGTGTATATGTCCAATACATCCGATGATACATGAAGTTTCATGGCGTCGTTGCTACAGAAAAGGAGGTCAACCACTGACCCCCCTCCCCTATCACAAGTAACACCTCCTTTTGCTATGGTGGGGGTCAGTCCCAACCCATTACACCACTGGTACAGGGTCCTGCCTCTACTGCACCAATTCTTCGACCCCCACAGTGGCGATTTAGCGTTGAAATCACCTGCGACTATGACCTTGGATAAAGTCCCCTTAATACCAGCTAGAAACATCTCCATCGACGCTAGTTGTGCCTCAAAAGCTTGGCTACTATCGTTGGGGGAGGCATATACGCTCATTATGCATATATCGTTGTAATTGATGCAGACAAAGCCCTTATCACAGCTCAGGACCGTTAACTTCCTGCTTTTAGCTATACCTGTATTGGTGATGCTGATGGAAGCCCTACCCGTTAGATCCGTAAACCAGTTATCTGGCGTTAAATACGGTTCGGACAGCACCAATATGTCCGCTTCCTGCTCCCTTGCACTGACAGCTAGCAGGTCATGCGCCAGCCTACAGTGGTTAAGATTCACCTGGAGAATGTCTATATTATGGTCGCCTTTTATTTTTAAGCGCCTCCTTGTATCTCGGACACCTTACAGAGGCCGCAACATGTCCGGTCTGACTCTCGGAGAGACCGTCTTCCACACAGAGCCTACACTTTGGCTCGTTTGGGCAGTCTTTCATGTGGTGTCTTACAGCCCCACATTTCCTACACAATCCGCCATCTCCCACAACGAGCTTGCAGCCACCCGCTATGTGGCCAATACCATGGCATTTAAAACACCTTAGTAGCCTCGGTATCTCTCTCGCAGAAACAACCGTCCATCCGATCATAATCCTGTTCGCCCTCAGAATCCGTTGCATGTCCGCAGCAGGTCCCTCAATAACCGCTACTTTACTCATTCTTGGGTCTGTGCGGAGAACTTTGACCCTCACACCTTTGGCCTCGTGTCCAAGCTCAGCCCTGATGGCTTCCAGGACCTCCTCTTTCTCTACCAAGGGATCTATCCCCCTCATCTCTACATCCATCATTGTTTGTAGCTTGGATACCTCTACATTCACTCCCAGCTTACCATCTAAGTTTTTCCTAAGTTCATCCAGGTCAGACCCAGGTGCAAACTCTATCAGCAAATTCCCTGCCCTGGTCTGCTTAACATTTCTAACTCCATCAGGGACCCTACCAGTTACACCCTTAACTTTTTTGAGTACCTCCAAACCTAACCGCGATCGCCTGCGGTTTCACGGCCCTCCTGGGCGTATTCTTAGAACCGCCCCCTCTCTCGTTCGCGTTTATCCCCCTAGCGTTCCTATTCGGTGTTACCATCTCCGTCCTATCTGTGTCCTCCAGGTTAGTTTTCCTCCTTCTCCTTCTAATCTCCGTCCATTCCCCCTCTCCGGAGTCTTCGCCTACATCCTGTACTCTCCCTTTGTACCTATCAACTGGTCTCCTCTCTCTAGGTGTCTCGCTCTGTGTGTTGAAGAACCTTTTCCTTTTCCCCTGATTATCCGTGGGGGGGGGGGGGGTGATCTCCTTTCTCTTCTGTCTATTCGGAAGAGGGGGGAAATCACACCTCCCATCACTTTCTGTTTGCGTCGCAATTGTCTTTTTTTCTTTTTCAGGTGGCTGTTCAACACTCGTCCCTCCTGGCGTCATCATTGTCTTCGTCTTCATCTGGTAAGTATCACTGTTCTTTCCGCTCCTTGTGTGGTCCGTGTGGGCCTTTCTTAGGTCAGTCACCGCCAACATCACTTCTCTAATGTTGTCTTTGAAAGACACGTACGTGCTCTTGAGTGCACAATCTGTCTCACCTTCCTTTTTCAGGATCAGGTTGTCAAAAACTACGTTGTGATCATTAATCACGTTGAGAACCCTCTCTAGGACCGCCAAACTCGCGTCAACCTTTTCCTCCAAGGTTAAACTCTCCTTTCTTTGTTGTGGAGGGGGTTTTCCTATTTTTCTTCCTCGCGCAAGTCTTCTACTTACATCGCTATCACCATCTGTTTCCGACTCGTCTCCCGTCAGGTCGACCGACTCCAACCTTTTTCTTGGTACTTTAAAAACACTGTCCTTGTGGATACTCGGAGGAGTTCTGCTCACGCGCGGCTTTCTCACAAACGCACGCTTTTCATCCGCTGATCCCTGATTAGATGCAGAAGCTTCGCCAGTAGCTGTTACCTTTACGGGGGCCTGGCGGTCTACCACCCGTACTGTGTAGTCGCTAGATAACGACGCGGGGGAGCCTACACATAAACTACCCGCCGCGCCGGTACTGGGGGGTCCGATTACCCCTGCACCGTAAGTCTTTTTGCTTTGTTTACTGTAATCCATATTAAATTTTTAAACAGGGAAGTCCATGTTAGCAAAGCCAAGTTGTCATAATTTAATACCGTCCGATACCAGTCCATTAATCATAAGCGTTTTACCGGGAAACAAGCCTGTCCGTCAACGATTTCCTCCGCACACGAAAGAACTCAAAACATGCTTATATTACCATAAAAATCGTTAAAAACCACCCTAGTAACACTTCACAAGCCGGGAATGGTGGGGAGTATCTTGAACAATCGAAATCCGCGAACTCGTCAAAAATTGTTCAGAACTCGCGCGCGGTTCTTATATTTCCATCCGCACTTTGACTTGTTCGTTTAAACTCATCACTATCGCATAAAAACCGTGTTTCGTCACTTGGGGTCTCAGGAACCCCATGGGTGCCTGAGGACCCCAGCCTCTGCACGACGGGAACCATCTTGTTGGGTGCCACAGCGCCCCAGCCCCTTATAGGCCGCGGACCATCTCAGCTGGGTGCTACAGGACCGCAGCCCCTTAAACACTCGAGCCCGGTATACATCGGGTTCTCTACAACCCCATGGGGTAGCAGGCGCCCCATAGAAAGTCAAAATTCACTTCGCAGCCGTAATTACGAAGATCCAGTGCGCATACCTCGCCGCGCATTACGTCACAGTGACGTCAAGGGGTATCAAGGAACCCACTGGGGTCTTTAGGTCCCATGGAAAGTTAAAAATCGACCCGTGGCGAGATTTACGAAGTTCATCGCGCACTCTTTTCTGCGCACTGCGTCATAGTGACGTCATGGGGTCGCTAGGTCCCCCCTGGGGTCTTCAACCTAACCCTAACCCTAACCTAACCCTAACCCCCTTTCTTTTTTTTTAATTTTTAACGAGGTGGGAAAAATGCATTTATGCAGACCGGGCGAGATGTTGTTTGCCCGGTACTGTGGGACTCCCTATTAGCTCTACCCACTAAAAAACCCACCTCGATTTCACTTCCTCGGAGCCTAGGCCTATTTCAGAATATTCCTCCCCCGGAACCGCTATGACCAGTGGTCATCAGCACTACTTCGGGGAAGGGGCGGCACCAGCAGGCTACTCCTATCCCAGAGGAGCTCCCCTCCTCGACATTACGGGCGGGCGTACGGCGATTTCGATAGTTATATCGTTTAAACACATGACACTCCCACTCTGGGCGTAACTTAACATTAAACCTTAGGTGCTTAGCACTTTTCCTCCTCCTGGACCCGCCTTCCGGGTATCTCCTTGTCTTAGGGGCGCGTCTAGCCCTCACTCGACATCCTTCCATATGCGGAAGGGATATCGCGTCAAAGCCGGTCATATAATAAAATCAACGAGTCAGATAGTTAAGATGTCAGGTCAGGTGATAAAATAAAATCCATTAAATAATAAAACTGGTGTCAACACCTGCTCCCAGGTAATTAAGATCATTCTACATCAAAAGTTAAAATAAATAAATAATCAAATAAATAGGACACACTTCACATAATGTATAAACGTATACTTCACACCCACAGGTCTGGTGTGTAAAGGGCACCAAGACCACACAAACACAGTTAAATAAATAAGTCAAACACTGCACATCATACTTAGGAGGGGGGAGGGGCAGGAGGAGGTCTTCTCCTACTCCTCCGTGTTGCCTCTCTACTCCTCTCGTAGGCTTCCTCTTCCCTTAGTGCCTTCGTGATGAAGTCAATCACTGCTCCTCTCCTCATGGTATCCTTCAACAAGCCCACGAAATTTGCCGCGTTAAGGTCAACGTTCAATTTGGTCACGAGGTCCTCTCTTTCGTTGTTCCACCGCGTACAATGAAACAGGAAATGTTCCGGATTATCCTCAATTCCGGGGCAGAACCAACATGTTGCTTGTTCTTGTTTACCAATCTTCATCAGGTACGATCCAAAACATCCGTGTCCGGTGATTGTCTGCACAAGATGAAAATTCAACTGTTTCGGTCAGTAGTTGTTCTATGCGGATTCTAAATCACTGGCGTCAGCATTTTTTTTGCTGACTCAGCAGTAATGTGACACCATCAGCAGAAATATGATACCCCCCTCCCCGCCCCTTCTCCCCACCCCATGACCTTGAACTGAAATTTGACACCACCGTCAGCAGAAATATGATACGTCCTCGACAACCCCCACCCCATAACCACCCCTCCCCACCCCCCATGACCTTGAACTGAAATTTGACACCACCGTCTGCAGAAATATGATACGTCCTCGACAACCCCCACCCCATAACCACCCCTCCCCCACCCGCACCCACCCCATAACCCACCCCTCCACCCCACCCCATGACCTTGAACTAAAATTAGGCGCCACCGTCAGCAGAATTATGATACGTCCTGACCTTGAACTGAAATTTGACACCCCATGACAACCCCCACCCCCACCCCATGACCTTGAACTATTTTTGTCTTATCGGAAGACGGCACAAGGCCCCCAAGTGGAAATGAGATTTTTTGTTGGCGCAGCAAATCTGACGCTGCAATTCGCGGCTATAGAAGGTAGAGGTTTTGCTCATGACCTTGAACGAATTTTTCTACGTCTTGGAAATGCGGTTTTTTGTTGACGCTGCAGAGTGAACAGCAATTAAACACTTTCGTCAATGACAGCCCCACTTTAATAAAATGGGAGAAAATTGGCAATGTGTGTCATATGTAGTTTGACAATTCGAAGTGCAAGGATACTTAACGCGTTTGTGGAAAAGAGAAATGGAGGCCACGTTACTGCAGGAACTCGAACGCATCACCGAATTATTGGCGCAGCGGGCGATAAACATCAATACTGAAGATGAGCGTTGCGATTGCTTGATGCGATGTGATCAGTGCATCGAATTGATAGACGAACGATTACAAATGGGAGACGATTTATCAGTTGAAGGATGGCGAGACATAGAAGCATACAAAGAAAGAATCGACGCCTTGCGTAGAATATTGTATCGTGACAATGATCATCCTAGTGGTCAAAAGGCAATATTACTAAACGAACTTGCTTGTATAGAACAACTTTTGACACAACGTATTGCAGCCATAAGTAGTAACGACGACCGAAACGCATGTCTGGTGCAATGCAATCAATGCATTGATTTAATGATAGAGCGATTGCAACTGGAAAAGGACTTATCAACTGGTTTGAAAAATAGTTTAACAGCCAGGATAGCGAGATTTAAATCGTTAAGAGCAGAGTTACACGGATCTGTAAAAATAGGCGAAGGTCAAAGGAGAACAGATGCTGAATCACATGCATCATCATCATCTCTTATCTGGGAGGATGTAGAATCAGCTTTCCATAACCGGATAACTACAGGAATTATAATCAACACCGAGCATATTGAACCACGAAACTTTTTGGAAGATGCTAGAAAAATAGTATTCCAACGTCTAGCGGAAGTTTTCCAAAATCATTCATGCATAAAAGTGAATACGGTGTTGTATGGGGAGTTTACCGCTAATAATAAAACTGATGTGAAAAGTTTCAGTGTGAGAAATAAACAATTATTTTCTACATCAAACTTGAACGATTGGTATGACAAATACGTTGTGAACTCAACTTTAACACTGATGGAAGAATTTCAGGAACGGGATAGTGGTTGGGCAATATCGAAAATTCTGCATTTGATGTTAAATATCAATAAATGCAATCCGATGCATGTTGGTTGTTACACCGACATACCAAAAACAATCATGGACAAAAGAGCGGTAGTAAATGTGGAAGTTGACGATGATACATGTTTTGTCAGATCGATAGTTGCAGCATTATATCCCGCCCATGTGAATGCAAATCGGCCATCATCGTATCCCAACTATGACACCGTTTTAAATTTGGAGGGCATCGCATTTCCAATAACGCTTAATCAAATACCAAAATTTGAGCGCCAAAACGATGTTTCGATAAACGTTTATTTCTGGGACATGAATGTGAAAAGGTGTGCTCCGCTCCAACTCACCACTAACAAAAGATTTCGTCACGTTAACCTGCTGATGCTTGAAACGCCCAACCGTAATGTGCGCCACTTTGCATGGATTAAAAATCTTTCCCGGCTTGTTTCAAACCAGCTCAGTGCACATAAGAGTAAAACTTATATTTGTGACAGGTTTGTATCACGCCATTACCATCTATTTTAGTGTATGCGTTTGTTCTTTTGTACTAATGCAGTTACTTTGTTTATATGCAGATGCCTTCATTATTTTTATGTGGAAGAAAAGTTATTGAAACATACGAAGGACTGCATGAAGATGAACGATTGCGCAATCATTCTACCATCGAGTGAGGATAAAATAATAAAGTTTGATAATTTTTGTCACCGAGAACGTCATCCATTCATCGTGTACGCCGATTTCGAATGCACGCTTAAGAAGATTAACAGTAACATCAATCAAGGACACTGCAATGCATACCAGCAGCACGAAGCATACAGTGTGGGATATTATTTTCACTGTTCGTACAACGCATCGGTGTGTGAGTATCGCGCGTATCGGGGTCCTGACTGTGCGGAATGGTTCGTGAATGAACTTGAGAACCTTGTAAGGAAAATTGCACCATTATTTAATACGATTGTGCCCATGACAAATTTGACGGATGATGAAAGAGAAAATTATATGAATGCGACGCATTGTTATATTTGCGAAAAACCGTTCGACATCGACGAAATAAAAGATCGAGATCATTGCCATTTCACTGGTCGTTACCGAGGACCTGCTCATCAGGGATGTAATTTAAATTATAAAAATAAACGTTTCATACCAATAGTGTTTCATAACTTATCGGGATACGATGCACATTTTGTAATAAAAGAATTGGTAACGATTATCGAAGGCTCGACATCAGTCTTGCCAATTACAAAAGAAAAATATATTTCATTTTCAACGAATTTAAAACGTTACAAAATTTCGCTTCGATTTATAGATTCATTCAAATTTTTAAATTCAAGTTTAGATAAATTGAGTTCATATTTAGGGAAAGACGATATGACGATTTTACGGTCACAATTTAATTTTTTGAACGAGATATGATTCGA